GAATAAGCAGTCTTGTAAATAATAGTTATTTCTTGGCTCAGCTTATGAGTATATGGAACTTAAAATGTGAAAAATGCTAGTAATCGCACCAGGTCTAGATCTCCTAGAAGGCAGGCGTTCAGATGTCTTCTGACCATAGAGCCTCGGGCCAGGCCAGCATGGGCTTGGAGCGCCTCTGAAGCCTGGATGACGGGACAAGAAGCCTGCTGGACAGACACTGGGCTGGGCTTACGGGAAAGGGAGACTGGGAGTCTGTGGCAAGGGCCTGGCCCAGCTGGTGGTCTCCATTTGTTCCTGTGGGAATTTTGTGTCTTTGGCATTTGGGAACACTGAGTGTCTTTATATTTTCCATTAAAGAGTTTGTGTTTAGCTCAGTTGAAGTTCTCCGGTGTCGTCTTTTTTTTTTTTTTTTTTTTAAAGAGTTTATTTATTTATTTGACAGAGAGAGAGATACAGTGAGAGAGGGAACACAAGCAGGGGGAGTGGGAGAGGGAGAAGCAGGCTTCCTGCGGAGCAGGGAGCCCTATGCGGGGCTCGATCCCAGGACCCTGGGATCATGACCTAAGCCGAAGGCAGACGCTTAACGACTGAGCCACCCAGGCACCCTGTCTCCAGTGTCGTCTTCAGGGAAGGAAGTCATCAACAGGATAAGAAGAAAGCATACGCATGTTCAGGGAACACCAGACTGATTGGGAGGACAAACTCGGGAGGGTTCTGGGCCGCTCCTAAGTGTGCTTTCTGCCCTCTTTTTCAGGATCTTCCCACCTTCTGCAGGATGGCTTCTGCTTGGCGGAGACTGGGCTTTTATGTCTCTTTTCTGAAAAGCCAGCAAGATGGCGGGCCAGGGATCATCAGTGGGGGAAGGAGAGTGATTCCGGGATGGGCCAGAGGTATTTACAGTGCCACGGGAGAGTGGACGAAAGAGTACACACTGCAGACAAGAAAGGAGGTCGAGAAATGGTGGCATCACCGAATAAAAGAACAGGCATCCAAAATTTCAGAAGCCGATGTGAGTATTCTGAGGGGTTTTGAGAGAGTAGAGAAGAGGGACTAAGGCCTCGGACTCTGGGGTCAGATTGCCCAAGTGCAAATAAGTTATTTATTGTGTGACCTTGAACTGAATGATTGACTCTGTGCTTCAGTTTTCTTATCTACTATGAACAGTGCTAATAAGAGTGCCCCCCTGCTTCCTGGGATGTTTGTGAGGGGTAAATGAGATCAGATAAGGATAGTGCTTAGAAGAGTTTCAGTGTGGTGCACACTGGGCATTCTGGAGCCGCATTTACTGGGGAGACGCCTCAGGATTCATCCAGCAGGGGTTGGGTCCTTCATGGTCCATGGTGTGGTGGGGCAGCACACAGGGGTCCAGCAGGGTCAGATGTGAGGCTCCAGGAGTGGCACCTGGACCCCTCACCTATGAAACTTTGAATCTGCATATTTTGAGAAATACTTGTCTCTCCCCTGGCATAGACCTGGGCCTCCAACCTGGTTCTGCTACCTCAGCATCATGGTTTGGGAGGTACCAGCCCTTCCCTGGTGTGATCTGGGTCTGGGATCCAGCCTTGCAGTGGTAGTTGTGTGACTTAGTGAACCCTTGGCTTCTGCTCTGGCTGCATCAGCTCAGAACTCTACTTATAATTATTTTCAGTATTTGGTTGTACCCAGTTTCCATGGGGTGCCATATTGGAGGCTGGCTCCTTCTCTAGGAGTCCAGCCTTTCAGGGATTAGTCTTGGATGTGGTAGCCCTTACCTCTTGATATTGGTCAAAGTAACAAATGAGAAATGTGATTTGTTACTTGAAATGTTGAATCTGATCAGAGCCAAGCACTATAAGATAGTTTACTCTTAAATTCTACCATCCCTTTGTAATAGTTGCCAAATAATACAGACCTTCTACATTTAATTAAGGAGATTAGGCCAGAGGCAAGCAGTTGAGTAAATATAACTGCATGAGACTGCTTTTCTCTAGACTTGGCCATTTCCCATCTCCTGATTCTCATTCTTTTCAGACTCAATCCTTCTATGAGATTGATCACTGTGAAGAATGCTGGGGGTAGTTATTTGTGTTAAAGTGAGGAGGATGTTTTTGGGAATTGGTTAGAAAGAAAATGTGGTATTGAGAGAGGTGTGATGGATAACAAGTAAAGGTTTGAATAGAATGCATGACTGTACAGTGAAAGCCTGACTTCCGCCTCAGCAGGGCATGAAGAGCATTCATGTCAATAGGACCAGACTCAGGTAACTAAATGTATCTCGGAAACAAACTAGGGAGCAGTTTAATTCTGAACAAGGAGAGTAAAATTATCATTTCTTTTCTTTTTGGTTTAGATCATAATTTAGTGGCTTCTACACATTTTAAAGTTGTAGCTTACTGATTGTTGTGGCTTCTCATTCTTCTTAAGTATATGGTTTTTTAAAATAATTAAATGGATCAAGGGGCACCTGGATGGCTCAGTCAGTTGGGCATCTGGCCCTTGGTTTCAGCTCAGGTCGTGATCTTGGGGTCGTGAGATCGAACCCCACTTTGGGCTTTGCGCTCAGTGTGGAGCCTGCTTGGGATTCTGTCTCCCCACCTGCCCGTCCCCCTGCTCACGCATGTGCACACCCTAAATAAATAAATAAAATCTTTTAAAAAATTAAATGGATCAACATAAATAGTTTATCAATAATTGGGGAAGCAGCTGGAGGGATACCGAGGGTGATCCCCTGGGGGCACCCTCTCAGGGTCTACACTGGGGAATGGTAAGATGGAGAAGGTGCCATCTGACCAGTCTGGAGCCAGGGTGGTATCATGGGCTCGGCCTCAAGACCTCGGCGTGATCTCGGCCATTTCACATAACCTCTTTGATCCTCAGATTCTTTGCATTGCTTATCTCACAGAATTGTTTTGAGAATCAAATGAGAAAACGTGGCCGAACACATTTTACAAACTGAAGTGTTATATAAACAAAATATCCAAGAGAATAAAAGTGTGTGGTATCTTTGTCAGGAACTAAGAAGACAACTGGATGTCAGTGGATTTTGAAGCATTTATAATTGACCTCACTCGGGTATTAGATCTATTTAAAATCCATCCAAATGAGTTTCCAGGAGTTGAATGTCTTGCCATGATCACCATAATCATTATTAAACGAAGTTCTACTTAATAAGCATTTGACTCTATGTCAGGTACTATCTTTCGGTATGTTACCTCATTTAATCCTGGAACAACCCTGGGGATTTTGGGGGAAGTAAGAAAACAGAGGCTCAGAGGGAGGTTTGGTAATTTACTGGGGATACGTGCCTGGGACCTTCTGTTGCCTCACCTTTGATTTATAGATTCTGAGCCCAGAAAGGCAGAGGAATTTGCCCAAGGTCTCGCAGCTAGCCGGGGGCAAGGCTGGGGCCAGAACTAGGGCTCCAGGCTCCGTCTGTCTGCCCCCTCTAGGCTCTGCAACAGTTTTGGAATGTGATCTATGAAGAGGCAAGAGCTGTCTTTCCCCTGACGTCAGAAGCTGGCAAAAATAATAGGTCCCACTTATAAAAACCGTTCTCTTCCCATCACTTACAATCTTAATTTCTTTCAAAGGCTTACATTCTTACATTTTTATATAATTACGAAAATTTCCCCTTCAATCAGATTCCTGCTCAGTTTTACCATAAACCCCCATAATTCCTTCTTGCCATCCCCAGAGGATAGAACTCATTTCATTATCATGGAGGAAAATGACTTAATTCACACAGAAAAGCAAAAGGCAGGGACATGAAGCAAGCTGAATACCTTTTCTGCAATAAACAAAAATAGTCATGAATATTAAAGACTTTTGCCAGCAGTGCCTTTCTATATATCTTCTGTAAGCTCCCTTTTGGAGTTTGGCTTAGTGTGTAACGAATCACTCAATGTGCTATACATTAAATCTCTGTTGGACAGACCTACCAAAAAGAGATAGTCATGAAGAAGCTGTATGTGGAAAATGTTTGGGATAAGATCGATTGTTCAATAAACATAATATAAAAAAACAGATATGTCACTATAATGAAAACGAGGCGATTATAATAAAAGAAAAATGGGCTTAATGTAAAAACTTAAAATGAAAAATGAGAAATGGTTTATATCAAGGATTTTATTGATTTTTTTTTTCAGATGCTTAAGAGCTCTGTAATAGCTATTTTCCCACGTTCCTAAAAACGCCCCAAGAAAAGGCAGTAGACCCAGTCTATTATGAGAAGGAGTTAGGTTCAAATGGAGTGGACAGTTTGCTTGCTTCTGATTCTGCACCGAGTGACAGAGTAAGGTCTTGCGCCTCATTTGAGGGACTAGTTTACAAGCTGGGAGGATTATCTGTCACTTTCCTTCTTAAAGACAGCAAGTCGTGAGTCTGCACTGACTCCACACCTCAGGGCGTGTCTCCCGAGGTTTTCCTAAGGGTTATGGGTCTGCAGTTTCCAGTTAAAGTGTGTGATCAGCGTGCTGCTTTCCATCCCTTTAGGTAAATCAATTGCAGTTGTCACTTGAGCATTACATGATTCTCAGTTTGTGTATTATCCAGACTCCTGTGTATTCTCTTTTCCCTTTTCTTCCTTTAGGCAGCTTGACTTACCACTTGTTGGTTATTTCTGGAGTTTGGGCAGTACAGAGAACATTCTAGTTTATTTTGCCACATGTTAGTGGCCCCGTGAAAGGTTTAACTTCTTTGCTGAGGGAAGTTTAGAGCAAGGGGTCAGATGAGATTTGGAAAGAATCTGATTTCTGGGTTCTTCTGCTTCCCTGGTTATAGTTAGCTGTGTCAGTGATCAGTCATGCAAATACTTAGCAAAAAATCACCTCCCTGTACATGAAGGAATGGTCATGAATATTCTGTTCTGCGTTTGTTTTCATTACTTTGGGAGAAGCAAAACCTGAAAGAGCTCTAGCAGCGCTGCAGGAAGGGAGTAAGGACAGAGAAAAACAGAAGGCAGAAATAAATGAGTGGTAATATCAGAAGGTCCCGACCCTCAGAGACCAAACAGAAGCAGTTACCTCTTCTTCCTTTCTTCAGAGAGCCCTGCATGAGAGGATTTAAGGCTGGGTAGGGGGAATGCTCCTGTCACCTGGACAGGATTTGGGTAGCTGGGGGAAAAAAATGCCCTTTGGTCATAAGTGCTCCATGGGGCTGGGTATTGAACTCCTGCTGGGAGTGGGGGTGGGATGAAGTGAGGTGGGGGGGTGGGGAGAGGGAGATGATTAAAACATAGCCCTTGCCCTTGAACCACAGACCCCCTAATTAGCAATCAATTAAATCACTACCATGATTCATTTGGAGCCTTATCCCCTCGGGTGGTGCACAAACCCAAAGTCAGCCGTCCAGGAAGGACTCCCTGCCCTGTGTTCATTTCGTCTGGACGCAGGGACTGTTTTTCTGTTTCTCGTAATGCAACTGTGTCTTTAGCAGCTGGAAGGTTCTCTAACCCTGGCATGAGGCTGTCTGTAGATCGGCCCTGGGAAACAACACCTTTCTTGCCTCGTTGGCTATGATTTTCTCCTTATCCTCCCATTTTCAACTTTGTTGAAAGATAAGCTCACAGTACAGCAGAGAAACCCAGGACCCAGACAGGGGCCTCAGGATCCTGCTCTTCCTGCTAAATCCAAGTCTGAATGTAGCTACAGGGGATTTAGAGATGTCACATCTGTGTGATTCAACTATCGTGTCCTTGAATTATACAGATAGATGTGTTAGAGCTTCATTTGGAAAAACATATAGTTCTTTAAGACCTAGGTAGAAACTGTCTTAGAAGCTTTTAAAAGAGAAAAAAAAAGATTAAAAATATATATGGGTAATTCGCACTTTGAGGTTGTTCGGCATTATTTTGGACATTCTTCAGCTTAAACCAGGGCTTTGAATTTTGGTTTTTGACATTTTTGTCAGTTTACATTATGGGAGCAGCCTTTTTTTTTTTTTT